GTTAAAAAATATATTCTAGTGTAGAAATATAAAGAAAATCAAGCCCATTCATTAATTTAATCAAAAATAACTAAAACTAAGCCTAAATTTGAAAAGAAAAAAATACCTTGAAAAGTTGGATTGAGATGGAATTGGAGATGAATGCATGAAATTGATGATGCTAGTAGGTAGGAATGATGAAAAACAATACAAAATGACTCCAAAACGAAGGAATAAACCAAATTTTTGAGGGGGTTATGGAGGGTTTCGGTGGTACTTGAGAGAGAAAAGGAAAAAATATTTTTTAAGGCAATATATGCTAAACCAGACCAGGAGTATCGTTAATCCAAGGGGAGTATCGATACTATAAAGCAAAAAATATGATGTATCAATAATGAGTATTGATATCCTATCAAGGCTGCAAGAACAATATCGATATTTTATGAACAGTATCGATACTGACAAAAAACAATATCGGTACTAGATCAACAATACCGGTACTAAATGCACAGAATGGTCCAAATATGCAACAAATAAGAAAATAAATAGAATGCATATTTTTAAAGTATTAATAGTGGTGTAGGCAACTCTAGATAGGCAAAGCAAATATGTTCAACCAAGCAAATTTACATTCAAACATAATGTGAACATATTGTCAATTTCCATGAAAGTCATAAACTTCACCTAACTAATAGCATAGAAGTCATTAAAGAGGTCATATTGCATGTATTTTTCATAAAATCATAAAAGTGCATAAATTATTTAAACAAAAAATCAAGGTAGGTTGGTTAGATCTAATTCTCTCCTAAGTTCCCAAAATCTTTCTTTGTCTAAAGGTTTTGTAAAAATGTCAGCTACTTGATGCAAAGTATCTACATACTCTAGAACTATATCTTCTTTTGAGACATAATCTCTAATGAAATGATGTCTAATTTCTATGTGCTTAGTTCTAGAATGTTGGATGGGATTTTTAGTGAGACAAATAACACTAGTATTGCCACACTTGATAGGAATGGTACCCACGTCAATTCCATAGTCTAAAAGTTGTTGTTTCATCTATAAAACTTGTGCACAACAACTACCAACCAAAATATATTCCGCTTCGGTGGTAGATAGTGCTACAAAAGCATCCATGCTAAATCTAGAGAGAAAGCATCCATGCTAAATCTAGAGTTTATAGGATACCAAAGTCCTATGCTAGGGGTTTCCTAAAGGTATCTAAAGATTATCTTAATGTCTTATAAATGAGACTACTTAGGACATGATTGAAATCTAGCACATAAGCAAATACTAAACATAATGTCTGGTCTACTTGCGGTAAGATAAAGTAATGATCCAATCATAGACTCATAAAGTTTAACATCTACATACTTACATTCTTCATCTTTGTCAAGCTTTGTAAATGAACTCATAAGAGTGGCTTGGGGTTTCATGTTTTCCGATCTAAACTTCTTGAGCATATCTTTGATGTATTTTGCTTGATTGATGAAGATGTCATCTTTTCTTTTCTTGATTTATATCCCCAAGAAAAATGAAAGCTCCTCTATCATGCTCATCTCAAATTCACCCTACATTAGCTTAGCAAATTTTTGACAAATAACGTCATTAGTAAAACCAAAAATTATATCATCAACATAAATTTGAAATACTAATAAATCTTTACCTTTACTTTTTATAAACAAGGTAGTGTCAACCTTCCCTTTTGAAAAACCTTTTTCAATAAGAAAATTTGACAATCTTTCATACCAAGGTCTAGGAGCTTGTTTTAAATCATATAAAGCTTTTGTCAATTTGAAAACATGATATTTGGAAATTTTGAATCCTCAAAACCGGGAGGTTGTTCCAAATACACTTCTTATTTTATAAAACCATTTAAAAATACACTTTTAACATCCATTTGAAATAAAGTAAATCCATGATAACAAGCAAATGCTAATAACATTCTAATAGCCTCCATCCTAGCTACGGGAGCATAAGTTCTATCAAAATCTATTCCCTCTTATTGAGTGTACCCTTGAACAATAAATCTAGCCTTGTTTCTCATTGTATTACCACTTTCATCTAATTTATTCCTAAATATCCATTTTGTACCTATAATAGACTTATTACTAGGCCTTTCAACTAATGTTCACACTTGACTTCTCTCAAATTGATTTAACTCATCTTGCATAGCCATAATCCAATGTTCATAATTTAATGCTTCTTTGATATTCTTAGGCTCTATGCATGAGATAAATGCAACATAATCACAAATATTTTTAAGAGAAGATCTAGTGGTTAGCCCTTTGGATGGATCACCCAAAATTTCACCATCTTTTACATAGTTGTACTCCCTTGGGTATGTGACTTCCCTTTCCTCTAGAGTTAGATTCTTGAAAACATCTAGAGTTTCCTCATTCTTCACTTCTTTAGATGATGATTCACCAACTTCATTTGGATTTGAGATACCTACATCACCATCAATACAAGAATCATTCCTCGGAAGGGGATTGTCATCGAAAAAACATGTATTGACTCTTCCACCACTAGAGTTCTTTTATTAAAGACTCGATAAGCTTTAGAATTTAAGGAGTAACCAAGAAAAATCCCTTCATCACTTTTTACATCAAATTTACCAAGATTGACTTTTTCTTTAAAATATGCCTAATCATTATTCTATTAATCACATAACAAGTGGTATTTGTGGCTTCCGCCCAAAAGTACTTTGGCAAATCGTTTTCACAAAGCATGGTCCTAGCCATTTCTTCCAAAGTTCTATTTTTCCTATCAATAACTCCATTTTGTTGAGGGTTTCTAGGGGTTGAAAAGTTATGGATAATTCCATTTTAATTACAAAAATCAAAACCCAAGATTTTTAAATTTGGTTCCATAGTCACTCCTAACACTTAAAATATAGTAACCCTTTTCATTTTGGATTATTTTAGAGAAAGTGATGAAATTTTCTAAAGTTTCATCTTTTGTACTGAAGAAAAGAACCCAAGTAAACCTAGAGTAGTCATCGACTAATACAAATGCATATTGTTTTCCACCCAAGCTAGTAGTTCTAATAGGCCCAAAAAGATCTATATAAATTAATTGTAATACTCTACTAGATTATATATCATTAATAGGTTTAAAGAAAGTTATTTTGTGTTTACTTTTACCACATGCATCACAAATTTTATCAAGATCAAATTTTATCTTAGGCAAGCTCTTATAAGATTGCTTTGAATAAGTTTTTGTAAAACACTCATGCTAGCATGTCCAAGTTTCCTATGCCACAACCAGAAATCATGCTCATATTTAACAATTAAACATACATTAGACATGTCAATACTATCTAAATGAACCATGTAAATATTTCCTATTATATGACCAACAAGCATAATCATATTAGATGCAATGTCAACAATTTTGCAACCATTAGGCTCAAATAAGACATTGTATCCCTTATCATATAATTGTCTAATACTAAGAAGATTATGTGTTAACCCATTTACATATAAAACATTTTCAATAAGAATGGAAGAGATGCTACCAATAGAACCAATTCCTTCAATGTGAAATTTGGAGTTGTCACCAAAGGTTACTACTCCTCCACTTTTAGCATTAAGCTCTAAGAATCGACTCTTATTACCGGTCATGTGTCTTGAGAGTTTGAAATTTGTTGTTCCTTGTAGAAATACTCCTTCGCCTACAAACATAAATCAAGTTTTGATCTTTGGTACCCAAAAGTTTTGGGTCCATAGGCATTAGTTCCCAATAATCTAGCCCCTTAGGTATCCAAAATATTTTAGTCTTTTAGGGAACCCATATGCTTCTAATAACTTTCCCATTTAAGGTTCTTTGGGGACCTCTATGATTGTATGGTCTAAAGCTATTTCCAACACAGTTGGATTTAAAATTTTGTCTTTTATCAAAACGATTTGTTCCAACTTTGTTAAAAGAAGCTTTAAGACCATCAAGTTTCTTTTGATGATCATCATAAACCTTTGAAAGTAGGTTCTACAAGTCATGATTTTTCTTTTCAAATTCCTCTAGTTTTACTTGTATGTCCTTGACCTTACTTTCAAGTTCATTGTTGGTCTTGTATAGAAGACCATTTTCATTTTTTAATTTTTAAATATTCTTATTTTTGAAAGCATGATATCAAATTCTGAGGCCAACTCATCATAAGCCTCTTGCAACTCATCAAAATAATATTCATTTAATGTAGATGAGTTAGAGGTTACCTTATATTCTCCCTCAATGGCCATGAGACACAAGTTGGATACCTCTTCATTGGATGACTCATCATCACTCCATGTAGCTACACGTGCCTTGTGTTTCTTCTTGGAGGATCCCTTTTTCTTTAATTGTGGGCATTCAAATTTAACATGCCCTATCTTTTTACACTCATATAAAATTATAGGGTCATTCTCCTTGGATTCATTCTTGAAGCCTTCTTTTCTTTGGAATATTATTCATTTATTGGACTCCATGAATCTCTTGAATCTTTTGGCAAACATTGTCATTTCTTCTTCCTCATCTTCATCATTTGAGTCACTATCTTCTTGGTGAATTTGATAGCAACACCAAACTTTTCTTCTTTTTTCATTTCCTTCTTTTCTTCATCTTCCTTCACCATCATTTCATGAGTAAGCAGGGATCCAATGAGCTCATCTAAGGTGAGAGTCTTTAGATTCTTTGCTTTAACTATAGCGGTCTTCTTGGATTTCTATGACTTGGGAAGACTATAGATCATCTTTATAACAAGATTCTCATTAGGAATATCTTCTCCAAAGCCTTTGAGACCATTGATAATAACTGAAAATCGATCGGTCATGGATTTAATGTCTTCATCCGGTCTCATCTTGAGGTTTTCATAGTTATGATTGAGAAGACTAATTTTAGTTTCTCTTACCTTATTTGTTCCTTCATGAGTAACTTCAAGTTTATCCCATATCTCCTTGGCATTAGAACAAGATTATACTCTCCCATTTTTATCGAGGCCAAGTGCACAAAATAGAATGTGCATTACTATTGCATTGAGTTGGAACAATTTTTTTTTTCTTCACTCCACATCTCTATTTCACTGGTTGAAATAGAGTGACCTTTCATCATGATGTTCCATGCTCCCAAATCACTTGCTTGAATAAAGTGTTTCATCATATTCTTCCAATAGGCATAGTTGGCTCCATTGAAGTTTAAAGACTTGTTGATGGGTTGAGAATCACTAACAATGTTGAAACTTGATGTAGAGGCCATGGATAACTTGGTTGATGATTGAACTCCTTGAGGATCTTCTCAAGAGGTGGTTAAACATTTCAATAAGTCAAGCTCTGATACCAATTGTTGAGTCAATCGAATAAATGAAATAGCCAATAGGGGTGAATTGGTAATTAATTTTTTTTCTAGAAGCTTAAAAAATAATATAAAATTAAATACAAGAATTTAGAGTGGTTCGAATATATCAACCAAAGTCTACATCCACTACTTTAGCTATCCACACTAAGGATTTTCACAAATTCACTAATTTACATCTACTTTGAGGATAAGGTGTAACCTTACAACTCCCTCAAGAATTATACCCCAAATTCTTGAGACGCTCTCTCAAAGAAAAAAATTACAAATTACAAACTTATAAAATCCTCACTAGGAATGTGTTTGCAAAATTTAGGAACAAATAAGAACACCTATGAATTAATACAAATGAGCACAAAAGTTTTCATTGAAAGCAAAAGAAAAATTGAAGAATATTGACTTGATTTGGCTCAAATTTGTTGTTTTTGGCTTTCTATTTTTTTTTTATCTTGTCTTCACATATGACTTGGAATCTTGTTTTTATACTCCCTCAATTAATTCCAATCATTTGGGTTGTTGTGGGAGTGAACAAAGTTGTTAGAATGTAGTTTCCCGCATTAAATGTTGTTCAGAAGCTTGTAGTATAGGTACTCGGTCTCTCAGTATAGATGTTCCCTATATTAAATACAAAAATGTCCGTTGGGGAACTCTAGTATCGATACTGTTATAAGAGTATTGGTACTACTATATTCAGTAGTATTAATATTGTATATGGTATCAGTATCATTTAAGTATACTAGAATTTTAAAATATTCAAAACCAAAAAGGTTGTATCTGTACCACCACTACGAGTATCGATACTACTATACTAAATAGTATCGATACTATATATAATATCGGTATTATGTTTTGTCAAACTTGCATACAGTATCGGTACTACCTTAGCAGTATCGATACTACTTCATAATTTTGGACTTCAACATCGATATCTGTATCGATACTTCTTGAACAATATCGGTACTGCTATACTTAAAAATCATTTTTGACTTGATTGAAGTTCGAAACCCTTAGTAAAAGTTATTTCAAAAATATTTCCAATATAAGACTCAATTTTTTAGCAGAGTGAGGAGTAAAATTTACCTTTTAACTTTAAAGAATAATTTATATATTCGAATGATTGAATCAAATATAATCTTAAAATTTGTAAAAAATATTTAACAATTTTTTGTATATCAAAATATCAAAGTGTTTTCAACAAAGTCATCTTCATCACTCCAAGCCGCCACAAATGTCTTTTTTCTTAGTTGATCCCTTATTCTTTAGAAGGGGACAATTATACTTGACATGCCTCGTTCTTTGATATTCGAAGCATACCGGGGGACCCTTCTTTTTCCTTGATTCATGCTTCACTTCCTTAAAAGTCATGAATCTCTTGAATCTTTTGAAGAGTTAGGTCATCTTTTCTTCTTCATCATCATCTACCTTTTCACTTGAGTCTTGATTACTCTCTTTGGTGGATTTGAAGGCAACACCTACCTCCTTCTTATTGTTTTTCTTTTCATTATCTTTTTCTTCTTCCTTTACCATCAACTCATGCATGAGAAGATAACCAATAAGCTCATTAAGATTGAGTAACTATAGATTCTTAGCTTCGATAATTGTTGTCTTCTTTGATTGCCAAGACTTTGGGAGAGAGTATATTATCTTCCTCACAAGCTTTTCATTAGGGATCACTTCTCCAAATCCCTTGATACCTTTAACAATCATGAAAAATCTATGTGTCATAGCTTTGATGTCTTCACCCGGTTTCATCTTGAAAGTGTTATAGTTATGGTGGAGAAGATAAGTTTTGGTTTCCTTCACTTCATTGGTTCCTTCATGAGTGACTTGGAGCTTATTCAATATCTCCTTGACATTTGAATAAGATGAGACTCTTACATATTCATCTGGGCCTAATGTATAAAATAGAATGTGCATAGCCTTTACATTGAGTTGGAACTTCTTTTTCTCTCCATCACTCCAATCATCCATATCATTGGTTGGAATGAAGTATCCCTTCATGATTGAGTTCCAAGCTCCTAGATCGTTGGCTTGAATGAAAAACATCATCTTATTCTTCCAATATGCATATTTTGCTTCATTGAAATAAGGAGACTTGTTGATCGGTTGAGAGTCTTCAAAGTAGTATAAATTAGAGGTTAAAGTTATCTTATCGGTTGTGTCGGGAATCGGTAGTGTTACTTCAAATATCGTCTCAAGGTTGTTAAACCTTTTAATGAGTCAAGCTCTTATACCAATTGTTGGGATTTCAATGAAGCTCAAATAAACAACCGAATAATTTGCCAAGAGGAGATGAATTGGCTTTTTGAGTTTAGAGAGTAAGAAGTATAAAGATGAAACAATTTTCATAAGGATTTATAATGGTTCAACTTCTCAACCAAGTCTACATCCACTACCTAAGCTCCCTATTTAGGATTTTGTAACAAATTCACTAATTTGTTCTTTCTTTTTCCAGGATAAAGAGATAACATTTACAATCCCTAGCTTTTTAAAGGCTAGGCTAGAATCAATCCCCTTTACAAAAGGAATAAGATGTAAACAAGAAAAAACTCTCAAAATGAAGGGTGTTTACAAGATTTAAGCTCACAAGAAAATAATTAAAAGATTTGCAATGAGCTCAAAACACTAATATTTACAAGAGAAAGGAAAATAAGAATAAAAAGTTATTCTCTTGTGTTTGATTACTTGGATAGGTGTTGTCTAACTTCCTTCAAGTGTCCTCAACTTGTTTTTATATGTTGGAATGAGTTTGTGGTCGTTTCTAGCCTTGTTTATTAGATAAAATGAGTTTTAGATAAATAATTCTAGGGATATTAGATTAAACCCGAGGTACCCAAACACACTCGAATAATAGCAAATAAGACTTCAAGCGATAATACAAAATAATATCATAATAGTAGAAGTAGTGATAGCTAGGCTGACATAAAACTAGCCTTGTTTATTGCTTGGGAAACATCCAGGACACCCGAGTTCCTTCTAGTAGAATACGACAGTCAGTGGATCCAAGTCAGTGTCATGCACTTCAGTGGCCAACTGGGCACAGATGACCAAGACTTGACGGAGTAAGTTGGCGGGTATATGCTTCCAATACAAAATTTTAGATCCCACCCTAGGTGTACCCGAGGGTACATCGACAGTGCTATATGGGTGCTTGAGCTTTGAGATACAGAATCCCTCAGTCGCACTATGATGTCAACCACATATTAGTAGTCCAGTAGTTGCATGCTCAGACATGTGTCTCTTTCCATTTCATTTAGTGAATGCATATAGTATAGTATAGTTTTTAGTGAGGCACTGAGCTCATAAGCTCAACGTTCGGAATGTGTTTCCTTGTGCAGGTTCTTAGGGGCAATTCGTGGGGAGTTATCGTCACCAAATATTCCAGTGCAGCAGACCAGATTTTCAAAGACCTTCAGAGTACGTCTTGAGTCATATTTAGAGGGCATGTACTATATATGGACCCTTATATATATTCAGTTGTAACTCTAATTTGTATTTGGTACTGTATTATTTTGAGATATAATTTGGGAGCTCCTTATCATTTTGTAAACCCATATTATCTTGTTTTATTTTTATTACTATGGATAGTTTATTTTCAATTATTATAAATAGTTTTAAAAGAAAATTTTAGGGTTACTATTTCGACAATCCTGTGTAACATTGTAATCCATGGATCTTCGAGTTGAACTGGATTAAGTTGTTACAGACTAAATAAATAGCTTACCAAAAAATAATAATATGAATCATAAATTTATATTGATCTTAATCTTAGATTAATCATAAATTAAAGGCAAAAGGGTAACTTTTCTCTTTGTAGTAGACCCAATTTATTACTTTCGCCCATATCGTATTTTTGCATCAATTTAACCCTTGAAGTTGATGTTGCTAATTTGATTCATTCTATACTCTACCCCTAACTTAAAATCCTAAACTATAGTCTCATTACCTCTAAACCATAAATCTTAAACCCTAAACCCTAACTTATAATTTATAATTTAGGGTTTTAAGTTACGGGAAAGGTATATAATGATGCAATTAAATAACTTTGAGGGTTAAATTGATACGAAAATATGATATGAGCGAAAATGTAAATTGGGTATATTACATGGGCAAGGTGACCCTTAAACCTAAATTAAAATTTATTTAAACTTAAAACAATCTAAATAAACAACTCGAAAAAACAATATAAACATGAAGTAATCCAAACCCAAAAAAATAAAATAAAAGAATTAAGTTTTAAATCCGAATGAAAAACTTAAAATAACATAAATAAAATTCGATCTATACTTAAATTAACCCAAATTCGAAATATAAAAAATGATAACCTAATTAAGATGAATTAATTAAAGGGTAAACTACGTATTTAATATCTAAACTATCAGTTTTGGTCCGTTTTAGTACCTAAATTTTCATTTTTTTTCAAAATTATGCCTACCGTTTGGTTTTCATTTTATTTTAGTACTCGCCTTTAAAAACTTAACACATTTAGCACCTAAACTATAAGTTTTGCCAGTTTTAGTACCTAAACTTTCAATTCCCCCCCCCCAATTTAACGTTAAATTTTGAATGGGGTACTAAACTGAAACAAATACTAAATTTTAGGTATGTTTTTAAAAATCAAAAGTTAAACATATCAACACTGATAGTTTAGATATTAAATACGTAATTTATCCTTAATTATGATGACATGGTTTGAAAAGTCACACAATTTATGGGAAACCGAGTCCATGGCCGCAACAACCTCATCAAAAACATGTTTAAAAACCCAACCGTGAACTCAATCGACTCCATTTATTTGCACAAGCAGAAGGCATAAAAGGAACCCTAAAAACAAAACAAATCTAAGTTTTTTTTTCAGTTTCCGAAGGTTGTAATAAAGATGGCTTCGGGTAAACAAATCATGGTGATTGCAATGGACGATAGTCCACACAGCATGTACGCCTTGGAATGGACCCTTGATCACTTCTATACTCCTTTCGGATCCCTCCGACCTTTTCATCTCGTCGTCGTTCATGCCCGACCTGTGCCCATATCATTCCTTCAACTCGTCGGATCTGGTAATTACACAAAAAATAATCTTTTTTTATATTCATATCTTGTTATATAAATCCGACCTAATTAATAAAAAATCGACTTAAAATTCGATCATTACATGATGATATTTGAGCAACATTTAAGAATGGTAGATGAATTTATGGTTCAATAGAAAGGTCATCCGATATTTGTGAGAGTTATAATAATATTTCATGTGTAGTCGAATATAGACAATTAAATCAAGTGTTAATGGTATAAATGGGTTTGATGGTTTAACTCGACTGATAGATTTTTTTTAGTTTAATATAAAAATAAGTGTTTATATTATATTTTTTTCTTATTTAGGTGTCCAAAATTTTTTTAGGTCAATTTAGGTGTCTAATGTTGTAAATGTTATCGTTTAGGTGCCTACGACGTAATAGTCGTTAAAAAAATCTGTTAAAAACAAGTCATTCAACTAGTATTTGACAAGTGGCTTGATTATTTATTTCCTTTAGTTTTTAAAAAATAAAATAAATAATTTTTTTAAAAAAAAAACATCAGGTTTTCTATTTCATAAAATACACCAATATCTTAAATTAGTTGCCACCACCATCAACGAACCACCCACTCACCCAACGACCACTCACTTGTCAATAGGCCTCCGAGCACTCAGGCCAATTGGGATGAATGTGTTGGGATTTAGAGGCTTAGGGTTTAGATTTAGGGATTAAAGTTTAAGAATTTTTGGGGTTTGAAACAACAATTGACAATCAATAATGGATGGTTAGGCAACGACGGGTGGTATGGTGGTTGGTGGGGGCGACATTGGTTGTGGAAGGCTAACGGATGGGGTGAATGCTTTGGGATTTGAGGTTTTTGGGATTTTTTTTTTAGATTTTAGAAATATTTTAGGGCTTTTTTAAATTAATAATAACTTTAAATTTTGAAAAAAAATATTTTTTTAAAATTATAAAAAGATCACGTCACATTCTAAGTGATTGATGGAGTTTTTTTTTAACGTTTGTTATGGTTGAGGCACCTAAATGATAACATGGAAAATATTATACACCTAAATTCACAAAAACAATTATGCATCTAAATAAGAAAAAAAAATATAATTTGGACAGTTGTTTTTATATTAAGTCATATTTTTATATGTATTCTTGGAATACATGAATATTTAGGTGTAAGTAAAGAAATTATATTTAAATAAAATTGAATTATTCGAGTCAATTAATTTTTTTTATTTAAATTATAAGTCGAGTTTGAATTTGTAAAGTTTGAATAACTAGAAAATTTTATATTGGAAGAGATGTTGTGCTTATACTATAATAATTTGATTATTTTGTGACTTGGTCTCTAGTCTTTTTTATTTATTCAAATTCTTACTTAATAAGTTTATTTTTCACCAAGTTGAACCACATGTTCTTTTATTATATACAATACATGTATAATTTTAGTTCACCTTTTCTAAAATTAGTCTTTCAATTTTATTCTTTATTCAATTTAATCATTCGATTATAACTCTTTGCAAATGATTTTTCTAACAATTTTTTGACTCATTCGTACTCTCATCAACAATTTAAACAAAAGCTTTTTTAAACGCAGCAACAGCAGAGATTATGCGGATGATGGAGATTGATTTAAAGCAGGCAGCCACAAGGATTACCGAGAAAGTGAAGGATTTATTCAATAAAAAATCTGTAATTATAATCAATTTTGAATTTATTATTGAATATATTGAGATAATTATAAAATCTTAATTAATTTTTCATTTTGAATTTTTCAGTAAAAGGGTATGTGAAGTGCCTGTATTTAAAAAAAATCAATATAGTTATCGTACTATTATTGCTTTCAATATGACCCCCAACTCAATGGAAGAACCCAATGTGGCCCTCTAACTATCATTTTTTGTCATTGACCAATGGCTCAACTAATTCTTGCTTACGTGGAGGTTTTCTCAAATCTGTTACGAAGTGAATAATGCTTGTGGTTGTTGGTAGAAATGTAAATAATTAGTTTCTGGTTGCATGTGCAGTTGTTGAAGGGAAAGGGAAAGGAAAAGAATCATGGAGATGATTTTTGAATAAACTCATAATTGACTTAGAGTATCCTAATGACGAAGCACTTACACTAATGTTGGTCAATGATGAAAAAAACGTTGGTCAAAAGATTATATTAGGTTATCTTTTGAATGAGAAGGGCACATTAAAAAATAGTATTAGGTTCACATTGATTTTTTTGTTTAAAAGTACATGTACTTTGTGTATCCTTTTATTTAAATTTTAAATATTTTGAAGGTGAATACTTTGAACGTTGAAGTAATGGAAGGAGATCCAAGAAACGTGCTATGTGAAGCTGTTGACAAACACCGTGCATCGGTACTGGTAATAGGAAGCCATGGATATGGTCTTGTGAAAAGGTATACATAAAGTTCACGGTTTAAGGTTTAGGGTTAAATCGAATTGTGTCGATTATATAGGATATTTGTTGGGTTTTATTTAACTTGTTCGAGGACCGAACATGCAGGGCTGTGTTGGGGAGTGTAAGTGATTACTGTGCTCACCATGCTCACTGTTCTGTAATGATTGTGAAGAAGCCCAAGACCTAACTAGGAATAAGCTGCAAATCAATTAGGCCAGTTATTTCTGACCATTGTTCAAATAAGGCTTAATACAAATATAAATGTATAAATAATCTCCCGAAAAAAGTTTCTCAAAAAAACTTTAGTGCATAAATTTTTTTTTGTTAAAAATATGTGTCTAAAGTTTTCTCTGTTACATTTTAAGTGACCATCGTTAAAAAAAAAAACTGTTAACTAACATGTGTAATATTCATATTTTAAAAAAAAAAATTATTTTATTTTTAAATAAAATCTGGATATGACACGTGTCACTTAATGGTTTTTTTTAATGACAGGCACATAAAAATGTAACAGAGAAAACTTTAGACGTCTATTTTTAACGAAAAATTCTTTAGACATCAAAATTTAATTTTAAATACAATTTAAGTACTTATTTTTATATTAAGACTTCAAATAATTATTGTTTAATATATTAACACGTATAATTCTATATATATCAATGATTAGATAATGAAATATTATAAAAAAACAAATTCAGGATATGTTTTATAGGATCATACCTCCAAGTCCTTTAGTTCTAAGGATACAGAATTTCAAGTCCGATGGATGAATGGTGACTGTCTGATCAGAGCGTGATTACTGACCTGTTGGTTCTAGATGTTGAGATAATGATATATTATAAAAGAAAATTAAATTTAAATTTACTTACTGAATTTATATCAGAGGATTGTATGATTTTTATTAGTCTAAATTGATTATATGTACATAATTTTTTTAATTAATTAATAGTAATAATTATATATATGTTCTATAGACACAGCTGTTTAAATATGGATTCTTTTGCTTTGATCTTATATGATATGAAAGGAGTTTTGCTAATTAATCATCTCTAAGATTACATTAATATTTTAAGTTAGATTACCCTTGAATCTAACAAGTGGCTTTAGTGGTAAAAAAGAGAATGTTGTTCTTCTTGGAGGTTCTAAGTTCGAGCAACTACATCTATAATGTGTACATGTTATCAATTGATTAAGAAAGTTCTGAACATATACTACTTCCTCATGGATCAACAACTTTGAGCCTCGAATCCGAGACACAATACTTCAGTATCTCTTATAATAACATGCCATGGACCCAAAAGCTTATGACACCATTATCTCTGTAGTTTTTACTTAGACTCCTATTTTATTAAATAAAAATTATTTTTTTATAATTTATATCGAGTTAGATCATATTAGATGAAATACGAGTTTTTGTCTCAAAATTAAAATTGAATAGACACAAATAAAAAAATAGGCTCCTTAGATCAAATCAAATCAAATTTGAATATATGGATAAAAATCAATAAAATGGACCCTAAATGGGAAAACAAGTACATTATTGGTAAAAGCTTCCGTGTTTGATAGTATATTATATGTGATGTAGGCGTGGAAAGTAATAATTATAGGCTTCTATACAATACTTTATGTAAATATTTATATGTATTTCTTTGATAAAGCTATGGCCTGCTTTTGCCTGAATTAAACTCAATGATATGAAACTAGGATTGCATGTGATTCCGATCCAATGCGCCCTTGTATTTTGTAGTAAACTCGAACAATATGTGAGCCCGAGACAGACAACGGTCCAATCCATGGGTCCACCATCGATTACATTACATTTCATATGACACATACATATATACATACATATGATTAACATATGTTGGTTTTAAATATATTTTTAATTAAATATAATTTTACTTGATATCATTTTTAAGGTAATATTTAGAAGATTATAAGTTTGAATATATTTAAATATAATATTTTAATTAGAAATTTTGAATTGTAGGTAATCTGACTCGGCCTAATTTAATAGAGTTGTTTTTAAAACCGAATTTTGTTAATATTTTTGGGTTAGGGTTTATTTATAGGATTAAATTTAGACATTATTAAATTGCAGGGTAAAGTACATAAATGATCTCGACTATAGGGTACTGCTTTATTAGGTTCATCGATAATTAAAAGTTATAAAAACGGTCCTCTAATTATAGAATATTATTTTGTTGAGTCTCTCGATTATTAAATGTTACAAAATACTCACCCAACTATTTATTATATTCCAAAATCGTTCTTTTCCGTTAACAAATTAACGGTATTATGAGCTGAACGTTAACTTGCTGATTGTGATATGATAAAATATGATCCCGATATCTCAAACGGCTAACATATCCAAGTCATTATATTAACATCCAACTTGGACAACCTCTAAATTTTTTTTAAAGAAAATGACAAGATTGAAATATAATGAATAGTCAGGTGATTGTTTTGTAACTTTTAATAGTTGAAGGACTTAACAAAGCAACATTTTATAGTCAGATTATCATTTTATAATTTTTAACAATCCAAGAACTTAATAAACACTACGATATATTCAAGATACCATTTATATACTTTACCCTAAATTATATTGAAATCTAGGATGGGGCTGATAAAAATTTACATATCCCGTTATCGTCTCTAATTATTCATAGTTTAGGTATTATACTTTGTATATAAAACTATATAATTTTATTAATGAAATTTAGGGTAATAATATCTACTAATTATCGATTTAGTTAATGTCTTTCTTATTGAACTCATTGCATTGCCTCAACCGTAAAAGTAAATGTTGTTCTTTCTAAATGATTCGAGTTCAAACAATTGTTTACAATTTGTGTTATCAATGTCTAAGAAAAATTTTAAACATATACTACCTTATGATCACTCGAACTATATTAAAAAATCTACCACTCTTATGAGAAGTCAATATCTACTATCTTTAGTCTTCAACTGAATGGCTGATGTAATTTTATATTTATATTTGAGTTCGAATAATATAATTCAAAATTAAATTATTGTAAGTAATTAAAAAATTAACAAGTTAATGTCTGAAAAATACCAGTTAGTGTTTTTATTAAAGTTAAATGTCTGAATGGTGCAGGCCTAACAGGGTGTTGATATATATTTTGGAACATAGTTCAAATGTGGTGTAGAAATCATGCTGATTGAAGATTTAATTAAATGCATAAATTATTGTATTAAAAAAATTTAAGTTTATCATAAGTTAATTTTAAAATGATTAAATAAATTATTAATTTAAGTTTCGAGTTTAAGTAGAGATATTATAGAACAGATTGAATCACGTCAATCTATAATATTCATTATATATAATTGTTTAAGTCTTGATTAATCTGACATGTAAGTACCAAATTTTGTTCTTTATCTTTAATAGGGTCGAACAAGAATTTTATTTATGGAGATGAACTTATAAAATTTTAGATAAAGTATACAAATGGTCCCGATTATAGGTACTACTTTATTGAGTATCTCGATTATTAAAAGTTACAAAATAATACATTGACTATAAGACATTGTTTTGTTGAGTCTCTCGATTATTAAAAGTTACAAAATGATTACTTGACTATTTATATATTTTAAATTCATCATTTTCTATTAAAATATTGATGATTGTCTGAACCGGAAGTTAACATACTGATTAAAATATAATAAAATATATTTTAATAATATCTACCGACAAATCGTTACTTTCGAGTATTAACTCAAAAATATAAATATGAACGAAGACTGCCCTACGAATCTCATTCGGTTCATCCTGGTCTGTTCCTAAGCTTTATAATCGTCCCCTCGATTCTCTATTCATACAACTAAGAAAGCCCTGAATTATTAAACTCTTCAGAATCCAAAACGCAATTATTAATGTATGATTAGGTCAGATTATTTTTCTGTCTTTCCAAACGATGGTAGTAAAAAAGAAAGCATGGTGACTTGACAGAAGTGAAGAACATGTAAAAAAAAGAGAGGATAAACTGCCCAAAAAAAAACCTAAATGTATGTTTTTCTTTCTTGTTTGTTTTTCCCTTCTTGCGAGGAAGCAACGGCCAATCCTTTGTCTGTAGCAACAAAGGACAATTTTGGCTGAAATCGTCACGGGATATGCATCTCTTCTATATCACATTTCTTCTTTTCCCTTACATGAACTAAGAAAATGTCTGAAAATTCCACGGCTAATCCTCCTCCTTCGCCTTCTTTCTTAATGTCGGTAAGGGTAGTCGTGGATTCCATCAACCGGTATGTCTCCGTGCTGGTGGCACCGTCGGATGACATGGAGTGGGATTCGGTAAGGTTGAAATGCAGTTCCAGGTTGAATTTCCAGAAGCAGGAGTTTTTCGAGTTCTCCGAGCAGGCAGTTCTTTCGAATCTTTATTGGGGTATCGACGCCATCGAGGCTGCATTGCAAGCGGATTCAGAGGGAGAGAGTTCGAATTGGTTGAAGGAATCGGAGAAAATGCTTCAGGTCCCTGTGTTGCTTGACGAACAAGAAACCACTGCAGGGTCCCTAATGAGTAGTTGGTTTGTTGCTCTTTTATCTTTCGGTTATTAAGAATCTGCAGAAGAATCAATTGCAGGCTGCTTTGCATTATCTCCAAGCATTGCTAGTTGCGCCGATGATTGTTCGAACCAAATTTGCCTCAGAAGAACTCTGCGAAAGCCTTTTCCTTTCATGCACCGATTCTGAGCAATAGGTGGAATCCGAAGACTGAAATCGGTTTCTAGCACAGGTTCTGCTTGGGGAAACCTTTCTGAATCGACAAGACAGATGGTGAGGAAATACAAGCATTGAGGTCATGTTACATGGGAAGACAACTCAACTACAAAATGAATGAAATGATAGTGTCACCGGTGTACGAACCGATGAATTTCTGGTAATTATCTTAATCGTGTCCGATTATCGGATTATGTCCCGTAAATATATGTAGTCCAGGTTCAATCAGCATATTTTAGCACAGTACTTAGCACCAGAATTTGCCTGTTTCCTGCAAACATGGCACGGATAACATGAATATCCATCAACTAGACATCCTTGTTACTGTTTTTCGGTTTAAATTATAGTTGGAAATGCAGTATTGGGTTACACGTAAAATTCGGGTTATGTTAAAACTATAATGCTCCTTTTAACACCTCATTGATATCCTGTTAAATGTATGAGCAGTCGTGAGATTGCCAGCAGCACAGAATCCTCAACGCCACCTGAGCACTGGCATAGACTTGCAGACTAATTTTAAGGTATGTCACTGTCCCTTTGTTCTTAATTCTCATACATCGGTGCAACCTTTGGATCGAACTCAGAATCAGCATCGAATAGGACTTACTGAATTCGGTTTGCTTCATGTGTCAAAAACCGATACAGTTCGACAAAGTTCATCCACTTGATCATCAAGAAGATGTAAGCAAGAGCATCATGGCATTTGAAACTCCGGCATCCACAAACGATAATGAAGATCGAGTTCGTAGTAAAGCTATAAAGGACCAGGGTTGCATTAGAAGGTTACAATCGCAGAGAATGCAGCTAAACCAAAACAAAAGTATTAAAAGCCTGCAGGATGTACTGGATCAATCCCAATCCGATACACAGGATTTTGAGGATGAATACGATTCGGAGGTTATATTTCAAGCACATAATAACTGCAGGCTATATGCATACTCTTTGTTTAGTTGTTTCCTATGTTTTTGGGGTCCGCTTTTCGTTGCGGCCTGGATAGCATTGCAGAATCACATATGTCTAACCAACCTCTTCCTGAATCAGCAGAGCGTGGAGGACAGCACCTGGGTGTTCGACATTGCGAGAATAGATTCGGATGGCCGGAAACAAGCTAGCTATGATCAGTTCGGTAGACATACATAGCTATATCATATTTATTTTCAATGCTAAGCCTGAACTGATTGAATATTTCTCTCAGACCTTCTGTTCAATTCTGCTTACCTATACAGGAAACTTGATCTTCGTAAAGGCATATCGGGCCAAGAGTACGAAGCAATCCTGTTTCCTCGAGTTTCCGAGAATCCAACAGATAGATTGTTCAGAACTATCAATGATTTAAATTTATCCATGCTAGGAATCAGGGACACGAAAACACAAACTTCGGGTCGACGAGACACAATCAGAGCAAGAAAAAGTCCAGCACTTTGAGCACATAGCTGATAGCACCAACCTATAGAAGAAGCAAAAGCTTGATTCACATGAAGCAAGAGAGGACTTCTGCAAGGGAAAATCTAGATTCATGTCGCCGGCGAAAAGGTTCCAAGAGTGAGTTAATGGAAATAATTGAGAATGCGGTTACAAAACTATGTTTCTCAGATGGATTAGACAAATCCGGGAAAGGTTACGCAGTCGAAATCACATCCATTTACAGAATGTTGAACAATAAACAAGGTGTGAAGTACACAATGTTAAAGGACATGATCCTGGAGCAACTGCTGATAGCTGTTTCGACTTCCGAAGAGGAAACAGTGATAAGAGCATCAGTTTCCATCCTAACGACCATCGTTTCAGTGAATATATCTGTCATAGACGATATCAAGAAGGGTTTACGGTTAAGTGATCTTGCACGGGCACTAAAATGCAATGTGCACGAGGCAGCTACTCATATATACTTAATCAAGCCATCTGCTGCAGAAATAAAGACTTTAGAGTGTCGATGTCATTTGCACCTCGGAAAGTTAAAGATGTAGGCCGTCAAAACCACTTACACCTCCCGCAGCATCGTTGATGATTATCGAAGTACTGGCAACCGTATTCGACAGTGCTACAAAAAAACACACTTAGCAGCAATCAATTCGCCTCGTGTCCTATCCGGATTCATTGATGTTGCAAGGGATCATATCTTGGAAGAACATATTTTTTTGGCTACAATTCTTGTGAAGTGTATGAAGTTTGATGGACAATGCAGAAAATATGTATCCCAAGCTATTGTAGTGGCCCCATTTATCCATTTGTTACAAAGTACCAAGAACCGAGCCGTGTTCATCGCACTTGAATTCTTTCATGAAGTCCTTCGGATTCCACGGTATGTACAATTACTTCGATAATTTAATATTTAATCCGAAATGTAAAACTGAATAGAAGACATGAATTTATATCGTTCAGGTCATCAGCCATTAGCCTATTGCAGCAGATATAAAAAGGAGGCATCAGTATCATGAACGTATTAGTGGCTTGTCTTCGCTGTTTCTGAGCCGACTATCGAATTCTAGCAGCAAATCCATTGCTTCAATTAGAAGTACTGGTAACATTACCGACAAACCGATATTTTTAACACCAATGAAGTTTGATAATGTGCTTTTTCGGACATATAAAGGCAATCATGTACTGTTAAGATACCTAACTTGAGACCTGTCTAAACCAGCAAAAACATACAAATCGTACTAATTATGCATACCTTTACGTATATGATGGCTCAACATGCAGGAAAACTCGAACGGTAGAAGTATGTTCCAAGAGGAAGCTATGCAGGTCCTTTTTCAGTCGATAGCAACGGATGAAAGTACTTCGCAGCCATTGTCGACATTCATTCTGTCAAATATTGGAGGAACTTATTCTGGGACAGGGGAATCGTATACAGTAGCATGGCTGGTTAAAAAGGCCGGCTTAATGTCGTTGAATCATCGGAACATGATAAGGAACTGCGATTGGTTGGATCCAAGCCTGCTGGTAAGATGCCTAAAAGGATAATGAGTTTAGCCTGTTAAATTTAGATGTCAAAGGATGTTATATAACTTGCAGGATCCGGGAATGGATTCATGGTGCAGCAAGATTGCAAGAAGCATCATCGATTTCAGTAAACCAGCATTCGTTGCTTTAAAAATAGGACTAAAGAGTCGGACAAAGAGGGTTGCTCGAGAGTCCCTCACGACCATCGCCTGGCTCAGTTGCGAAATTTCCAAATTTTCTAACAGCCTTAGATATTTGGCATGTGAGATCTTGGTGAAGTAGAGAAATTTTTGTATCCAGGAATGGACCTGAAAGAAAGACTTCTAGCATGCCTATGCATCTATAACTATGCTTCCGGGAAAGGTAATCTCCTCACAGTGAATATGCATACTCGTCCAACAATCACACCATTCCGATCGAACATTTCGAACCAAGTTAGCTAAATCAATTCACACCACTGCAGCATCTGAAATAACAATCAGAACAATAACTCTTTTTTAGAACCCTGATGTTCTGTCATCGAGCTACTCGTAGATCCAATGTTCACTGCAAAGCCTTTTACCAATATGCAGGGATGAAGAAACTGATTCATTTCTCGGAGGGTGTACAGGAGTCGTTTCGGATATTTTCGAATGTAATCTGGATGGCAGATGAACTACATAGAGTAGCTGCCTTCTACCTCCCAAATAAATCGGTTAGTGTTCTTGAGGAAATCCAAAGCATAATATGCAGTGAAACGAGACTTGTAATGGAAGTAATGAGACATATATCTGACATATCGAGTAACATAAAATCTAACTGTTTAACTTGTTGTTTCGATGACAAGAACAAAATATTTCTTGCGTTCATACGCAAATCGTAGAGGCGAGTCACAAATACAGTGGAGCTGTAAATGCCCTTATATACTACAAGGGAATCCTCTTCAGTGGATACTCTGATGGTTCAATTAAGGTATGGCCACCAACTTCAACTCAAGAAAAGATTCTATGTTAACAACAAAGTGCAAAAAAAGGGATTCCAACATGTCGTTACGGTGTCGTATGAGTGAACTTTCCGGAGGCAATGGCCTAATTCCATGGCCTAATCTCCGAAACTTGGTTGATTAAACAGGTATGGGACATCAAAAAGCAATCAGCCACGCTGGTATGGGACGTGAAGGAGCGTAGGGACTCTGTGACATGCTTTGCACTCTTTGAACCAGGAGAGACCCTTTTAAGTGGATCCACTGATAAGACCATTCGAGTAAGTTAAATCCGTGTCGTTCTTGCAGTCTAAGTATCTTACGAGTCTTGTAACACTAGTGTCCCAAGGCCTAATCTCCGAAACTCGGTTGATTAAACAGGTATGGGACATCAAAAAGCAATCAGCCACACTGGTATGGGACGTGAAGTAGCATAGGGACTCTGTGACATGTTTTGCACTCTTTGAACCAGGAGAGACCCTTTTAAGTGGATCCGCTGATAAGACCATTCGAGTAAGTTAAATCATTGTCATTCTTGTAGTCTAAATATCTTACGAGTGTCGTAACAGGAGTGTCTAATCGAACATGGTCTCAGGTGTGGCAAATGGTCAAACAAATTGGAATGCATTGAAGTTATAGCAACAAAAGAACCAGTTCAAAAGCTAGAGACATATGGTCAAATGATATTTGTGATCACTCAAGGACGCCATCTCAAGGTAGCAAATGAAAAATTCAACAAAATAATCACACACACACACACACGCACACACACATATATATATATATATATATGAATGTATGTATGCATCTATTTTAAGAGAGATGAATCTTCTATCAGGTTTTTGATTCATCAAGAACAACAGTATCTGCAAATCCAAAAGTGTCAAGTGCATGAAGATCATTCAAGGAAGAATCTACGCTGGCTGCACTGATTCGAGCATTCAGGTTCGATAAAAACAATCCTCGAATCCGATTCGAAAAATCGAAAAACCCAACGTTACATACATGAAACATGACTCGTTCTAGGAGATTTCTTCAACAAGTAGCCATCACAGAGAGATCAAAGCAGCTGCACAGAAATGGAGAATGCAAAGCAAGCGCATCAATTCAATCACCATTTATAGAGACTGGCTTTATTGTTCAAGTCCAATAGTTAAAGGTTCTAATATCAGGGTAAAAAATCTTGAATAATTTCATGTACTCAAAAACATGTTACAGTGGAATTAAAGAGCAATGGTTTTCAGGAATGGAGAAGAAACTCTGAGCCTCAGATGTCATTAAAAGCAAAGAAAAGAAGAAATATATTAGCAATGGAAGTAGTGGAGGACTGTTGGATCATAAACTTGATCCATTATGGGAGCCTAAACCCAAACCCAAACTAAATTGATGTCATTGCTTACATCAATTTAGTTAGGTGAG